TCTCCCTCACTCGGCTCGGGGACACCGGCAAGACGCCGCGGCGGCAGGGGAAGCGCGGAGGGGCGGGCCCGGGAGGGGCCTGCGAGCTGCGGCAGGGGCGGGGCGCACACAGCAGCAGCGGGAACTGCCCCTGCGCGGCTCCACCCCTAGCGAGTTGACCACGCCCACTGGATGACAGTCACGCCCTCTGCAGGCCCGCAAGGAAGGGGTCTGCGCGAGGCGGCGGGAACTGCCCCTGCGCGGCTCCGCCCCTCGGGACGGAGGCCAAGCCCTCTCCGTAAAGGCTACGCCTACTGCAGGCCTGCTAGGAGCCAGCATCCTGCTGCAGGGACTGGGCTTGTGGGCCTGGAGGCAGTGGGAACTGCCCTTGCGCCGCTCCACCCACCTCAGTGGCAGCCACGAGAGGCCAGCTAGCGCAGCCGGCTGGCACTGCTCCAGCGCGGCTCCGCCCCTCGCGGCGGTAACCACGCCTTTTGAGGCAATCCCGCCCCTAAGCGATAACCAGGCCTCCTGCGGGGCAGCTACGCCCACTACAGGCCGGGCAGGGGCGGGGCGCACGTAGCGGCAGAGGGAGCTGTCCTTGCGCGGCTTCGCCCCTTTCCGTCGGAGGCCACGCCCCTTCTATGGTAGCCACGCCTTCTTAGGGACCATCAGAGGCTTGCGCGCGGCGCAATGGGCAGGGCGCTCTTGGGACGGACGAGGGATCACTGCACCTGTGCAGCTCCCTCCTCCGTGGAAGCCACGCTTCTCTACAATGGCAGCCCCGGCCTCTGCGACCCTGCCCGGGATTTCAAAGCATGCGCGGCCACGCCCACTAAGAAAAGTCCCTCCTTTAGCCCCGCCCCTTCTCCCTCCTGCCCTTTCATCTTTTCATTCATCAAAGCGCATCTCTGGAGAAGGCGCCACGGTTTTCAACCCGTGGGGAGCCTTTTCGGTCCAAGCTATTAGAAGTTAACAACCCAGAAGTGGTGGAGACCTTATGGATCCCGAGGACAGCGGTGGTCGCGGTAGGGAGGGGGGGCATCTACTGGGTTAGAGACTGTATAGAAAAGACAGGGAAGGACTGGGAGTGTCTGATGGCTCAGTCGGTAGAGTGCAGGCTGCACGAAGCCCTGGGTTCCATCCCCAGATCCGCATAAAGGAGGCATGATTGTGCACGCTTGTAATCCCAGCACTGAGGAAGATTGTGACAGGTGGATCCGAAATTTGAATTCCCCAGTACATTGCAAGTTTCAGGCCGACCTGAGCTACATGAAACTGTCTCAAAAAACTAACGATAAAATAAGAAAAGGGAGGAAAGGAAAAAAATTTCTTAGCAACCCTTTGATTTTTAACAAGAGCTACCAAAATGCTATATATGTCTATTGCTAAGACATTTGTGATTCACCTTTGGGAAGCCTGTGTTCAAACTTGGCTGTCTTACCTTCCCCCAGTGTCTTTCTCCTAACCCTTATGTCTGTTAAAATGTCTTTTAATTTTTAAAAATTTATTTTTGTGTGTATTTTGCTTGCGTGTATGCATCATGTGCATGCAATGCTTGTAGAGGCCAGAAGAGAGCGTTGGATCTCCTGAAAGTGGAGTTAGGGATGGTTGTTAGCTGCCATGTGGTTCCTGGGAGCCAAATCTTGGTCCTCTGCAAGAGCAGCCAGTGCTTTTACCTGCTGAGCCATCTCTTCTGCCCCTGCCCAAATGTCTTAATAAATGGTGACTCTTTGAGAAACTCACTCCCATGATCAGGTGTACCTTTCTGTTTTAATTTTTTGCTTAAAAATTTTATTTAATGTGCGTGTGCATGTGCGTGCATATGTGTGTGTGTGTGTGTGTGTGTGTGTGTGTGTGTGTGTGTGCGTGCCTACCAGGACACAATGGTGGAGGTCAGAGGACAACTTGCAGGGGTTGGTTCCTTCCTTCTACCATGTGGGTACTGCGGATTGAACCCAGGTTGTCAGGTTTGGTGACAAGCACCTTTACCCTCTGAACCAACTCCCCAGCACCTTTTATTTATTTATTTATTTATTTATTTATTTATTTATTTATTTATTTATTTATTTATTTATTTTCTGTGTTTAGTTTTTTGAGACAGAGTCTCCCTGTAGTCCCAGCTGACCTGGAACTCGATATGTAAACCAGGCTAGCCTTGATCTCACAGAGAGCTACCTGCCTCTGCCTCCCAAGTGCTGGGATTAAAGGTATGCACTGTCACTCCTGGCTACAATAAACTTTTTGTTTCTTTCCTTCTTTCCTCTCTCCCTCCCTTCCTCCTTTTCTCTCTTTTCTGTGTGTGTTGTTGTGTGTGTGTGCGAGAGAATGTGTGTACGTATGTATGTGGGCATGCATGTGCCACAGGATGCTCGTAGAGATTAGAGGACAACTTGAGGAAGTACTTTCCCTTCTACCATGTGGCTCCCAGAGATCAAACTCAGATGGTCAGGCTTGATGGGAAGCTCCTTTGCTCATCGAGCCAACCTGCCAGCCCTCTACTTTAATCGTAGTAAACTCCAACCCTACTTTACAGTGGCTCCAACTAAAATTTCTTTCTGCACTGAAGTCGCAGATCCTGGCTTTGACCGACAGGAGGTCTCTGAAAAGAATTTCTCAAGGTTGTTGCCAGTGACAAGAACTTTTCAGGCTGCTTCCATTGACAGTGTGGAGCTGTGCCTTTGTCCCTGCCACTACTGACAGGACCTTTCCTCTCCCAATGCCTGCAGTGAGCACAGGTTTGGAGAGGGGAAAGGCATGGCCCGGTCTTACATTGGACCTTCCAAGCTGTACAGGGTACTAATGCAAAGGACCTGGGAGAGAGGAGAAGCCCTGATAAGCAGCTACTGGCCTAGTTTTTTTTTTTTTTGAGACGGGGTCTCCCTGTAGCCCCAGCTGACCTGGAACTCACTTATGCAGACCAGGCTGGCCTTGAACTCACTGAGAACTGACTGTCTCTGCCTCCAGAGTGCTAGGATTAAAGGCATGTGCCACCGCGCCTGGCCCTGGCCTGTTAAGTTTTTATCATCAGCACAAACAAGAGTCAGCTCAGAAGAGGGATTGACCAAATCAGAGTGGCCTGTGGCCATGTCTATGGGGGGTTGTCTTGATTGTTTGATGTGGGAGGATCCAGCCCACTGAGAGTCTGTCATCCCTAGGCTGGTGGGCCCAGGTTGTATTAGAAAGCTGACTGAGCAGGGGCTGAAGAGATGGCTCAGCAATTAAGAACACTGGTTGTTCTTGCAGAAGACCCAGGTTTGAATCCTAGCACCCACGTGGTGGCTAACAACTGTCCATAACTCCAGTTCCAGGGGATCCAACGGCCTCTTCTGACCTCCACGGGCATTGCATGACATGGGTGCACTTACCTATATGCAGGCAATACACTCATACACATAAAATAAATATAATAAATAAAATTAAAAAAAAAAGCTGACTGAGC